AAAATTACTAGAAAAACAAGTCTTAGAACAATTTTTCCTAGGAAAATATGTCCCAGGACAAATTTTCCTAGGAAAATAAGTCCATAGCTAGTAAAATATGTCTGGAACTTATTTTCCTAGGAAAAATTGCCCTAAGACTTGTTTTTCTTGTAATTTTTATTATATTTTAAAAATTATTGAAAATAAAAAAAAATATTAGTTAAGATTGGAAAGTTTCATTAATTTTTCCTATTAAAATAAAAGGACATGGCCGGACGTTATAACCTAGGCATGTTAATGACATGGACATGATGTCTTAGGAAAATTAGTCTGGGGACATAAATTCTATTAAAATATTAATACACAACTCTAAAACAATATTAAAACATAACATTTAAATTTAACATTCAAAATAAAGGGAATGGACGTTTTTACCTAGGAATATTTATGACATGGACATGATTTCCTAGGAAAATTAGTCTGGGGACATGAATTTTATTAAAATATTAATGCACAACTCTTAAACAATATTAAAACATAAAAATTGAATTTCCATTGTTAACATGTAAATAATTTGTTTCATTAAAATTTTCCTTTTAAAATAAATGGCATGGACGTTTTTACCTAGGAATATGAATGACATGAACATGATTTCCTAGGAAAATTGGTCTGGGGACAAACATTATATCAAAAAAATCGATACATAACTCTTAAACAATATTAAAACATAACATTTATATTTACCTTTTAAAATAAAGGACATGGACATTTTTACCAAGGAATATTAATGACATGGACATGATTTCCTAGGAAAATTAGTCAGGTGACATGATTTTTATTTAAAATATAAATACACGACACGGTGTCGTCTGATAAGGCAGGTGTCCCCTCATCACCAGACATGACAAATATCCCAAACATGACTCATTCAGATCATCATACTAGTGACAATAGCAATAGTACACATACACAGCCATGTTCAGTTCTCCTTAAAGACATTTTGGATCTTGATGACTCTGAACAACACTGTCTCATTTCGAAATGTGGAACAAATGGCTGCAAAACTTGTGAAATATTAATAACAGATGCTCAATTCACTAGCAATTTAACTAAAACGTCTTATTTTACTAGAAGTTACGATGATCTGAAATGTAAATCTATAAATGTCGTCTACGGATTAGAGTGTAACCTTTGCGGTTTGTTTTACGTCGGTGAAACGAAAGGAAGGCTAAACAAACGTATGTGCGGCCATAGATCAGATATCAACCTCAATGCAAACGACATTCTGTACCAGCATTTTAATCAGCCTGATCATTCCATCGTTTCTATGACAGTTCGTTTTATCGAATTAATATACCACAAGACTAACAATCCTCAACTTGCAACGCCTCTCCGTAGACAAAAAGAGGACAATTGGGAACTGCGAAACCATATGGTTGCAATGACAAAATTGATGGTATAGGTATTCTATCTAGTCCTTCCTGTAGCTCGGTGAATGTAAGTCAAGATATGAGGTAGACTTAACTGTATGATGAATATTTTCAACTCTACTCCTCATGGTCATCGTCATTATACATCACCTACTTTGCATGATGTCTCTATTAATGACTTGCTGCCATTTATACAAAAGCCGTTAGGTATTCATCACATTCGCACGAAACTTTATCAATTACCCCTTTCAAAACTTCATTCTCTGTTCAATTTATGTTTGGAAACCACTGTTACAAACCCTCATTCAAACCAATACAAACTTACAGCTATCATTTCGGATATTGCAAGTCACAGACTTTTCAAACCAGTTCGCATTGGAAAAGATAGAAAAGAGAAAAGATCTTTTCTTAAATTTTCCTTTGCCAACAAAGGTCTCGATGGCGTCAACTTAGGCAATATCCTTCATCATAAATTAGTTCAGTCGAAAATACCACCTTATTTTAAAGATCAGTCTGTACCAATAATTTCTTATACTATACCAAAACAGTTGAAACTAAAAATTTCAATTACAAACACGTTTTGCAGGATCTCAACATTGACGACTTCAAGTCTTAACCTCCTGATTGCACCTGTGCTAGTTCCCAATTCACATATAATCCGGCTGGTCACATTATTACCGGAGACCTCAACATTGTCAATAACACTTCCCTGCGAAATTTGGTATCCAAAGGTCCGAAATATCGTGAGTCTAAATCCATCAATTGGAAATATAACTTCAAAATACTGATGGATTCAGTCGAGGATTATGCCAGGCAATGGGCTAAACGCGAGAAAGAAGACGTAGATACTCTTTCCGAATGGATTAAGGCTGTGAGGTCGTTGATACAAATCCGAATTAAGAAACTAAATGGGTCTATCAATACCCACGCTACGTCAATTTTTAAAGACCCAAATATTGCAAAACACTTGTCCTACCTCCATGACAAATATGTTGTTGTCCCCGCAGATAAAGCCCCAAACAACATCGTTTTTGTGTGTAAATATCATTACATAAACTGCTTGATAAATGAATTAGGTATTGACAATTCACTTGGAAACTCAACATATACCCTCACGACACTTACCAAAGAGGAAATCCTGGATAATCATAGGTCTGTTCTATGTTCCTTTGGAATTTCAACCAAAGATGAAGAACTGGATCTTCCATCACTGTATTGGGTACCTAAACTACTAGTAATAAGTGTCCTTACAAACAACGGTATATTGCTGGGTCTTCCAAGTGCTCCATGAAACCTCTTTCTAAATTATTAACATCTATTTTATCAGCAATCAAAGCCGGGCTCCAAAGTTATTGTGAAACTGCCTATTCTAGAGGTGGCGTGAACCAGATGTGGATACTAAAAGATTCCAAAGATCTTTTAGAGTACATACAATCTAAGACTCTCTCATCTTGCAATAGTATTAAAACATTTGACTTTTCTACACTTTACACAAGTATTCCCCATTCCAAACTAAAAGACAAATTGAAAGAGTTGGTATTACTTTGTTTCATTAAAAAGAATGGCGAACGTAGATACAAATATCTTGTCTTGGGGAGGGATAAATCCTACTTTGTAAAGAATCACTCTGATTCAAACAAAAAATTCTCTGAAACTGACATTATCAAGATGCTTGATTTCTTGATTGACAACATATTTGTTACGTTTGGAGGACGTGTTTTTCAACAGACTGTCGGAATTCCAATGGGAACCAATTGTGTCCTCTTATTGCCGACTTGTTTCTTTATTATTATGAGGCAGACTTCATACAGGAACTTCTCGGGAAGAAAGATAATAAGTTAGCAATATCCTTTAACTTTACGTTCCGCTACATAGATGGTGTTCTCTCACTAGATAATACAAAATTTGGTGACTATGTTGAACGTAGCTATCCCATCGAACTAGAGATAAAGGATACTACAGATACAGTTAAGTCTACCTCATATCTTGACTTACATCTAGAAATTGACAATGAGGGTCGGTTGAAAACAAAACTTTACGACAAAAGAGATGATTTCAGCTTCCCAATTGTTAACTTTCCATTTCTATGTAGCAACATTCCAGCAGCGCCTGCATACGGAGTATATATCTCCCAATTGATACGATATTCCCGGGCTTGTATTTCCTATCATGAAACGGATTTGTAATAACATAAGCAACACGACGGGTGCCACATGTGGAGCAGGATCTGCTTACCCTTCCGGAGCACCTGAGATCATCCCCAGTTTTTGGTGGGGTTCGTGTTGTTTAGTCTTTAGTTTTCTATGTTGTGTCATCTGTACTATTATTTGTATGTTTGTCTTTTTATTTTTGGCCATGGCGTTGTCAGTTTGTTTTCGATCTATGAGTTTGACTGTCCCTCTGGTATCTTTCGTACCTCTCTTAAACAATTTTAAAACTTAATATTTAAATTTCCAATATTGTTTAAATTTAAATGATTTGATTACTGAATATTTTTCCTATAAAAAAAGGACATGGACATTTTTACCTAGGAATATTAATGACATGGACTTGAATTCCTAGCAAAATTAGTCTGGGGACATAAATTACTAACATCGGACTAAAAATACTAGTAAATTCTGTAACCATGGACTTTTTATACTAGTAATATGTGTCCGCCCGGACATATTTTACCAGGGCAAATTTATCTCTTACATAAATACTGAAGCTATTTCAATATTCGTCCGGGTTGACAATCATTTCCTTGCGGGAACTTGTGCCATCAAATGGATATTTCAATATTTCTAATATTTCATTTTCACTGAACTAGCACACATTTTTGTTTAGGGGCCAGCTGAAGCCCGTCTCCGGGTGCGGGATTTTCTCGCTGTGTTGAAGACCCATTGGTGGCCTTGTGCTATTTTCTGCTCTTTGGTCGGGTTGTTGTCTCTTTGGCACATTCCCCATTTTATTTCCATTCTCAATTTTATTTACTATCAGACAAAGGAAATTGGACAACAGGCAAAGGCTATATGAATCCTCTCCAATAACAAGATGGGTCGTTTAGACAAATTAAGACATCACATGTATAAAAAGTTTACAAAGCATTAGTCAATCCACCAATACTGAATTCAGATGAACTTATATAGATAGGACTACAGTACTACAAGGACGTATAACTAACATACGTCCTTGAGTACTATAACTATTCAAAAGACTCAAAATCTTATCATACACATTTGGATAACTTCAATTGTCGAATGATTATTAAAAAAATGAATCACATGAGTAATTGATATAGTACACATATATGGTAAATCAAGGAGACTGTATACAATTTCCTTGGGTTAATGAAAAAAGACTAAATGATAAGTAAATGATTCCACCACAACTATAAAATAAAATCCTAGCAAGGATATTTATTTCAATAATTCAGATATATTAGATGCTATATACAACATCATTTTTAAGATATATATACAAATGGATATAGATATATCAATAAAAGTACAACACTTTTTTTTCATTTTTCATTAGTGTTGCGACTAACAATGGATGAAAAAAAAACGATAAAAATACAACCAGTGTTGCGACATTACGATAGAAATCCACACTTTACACTTGTTATAAATACGAAACTAAATTTTACAGCTCTGAATTTTCAAAGATGGTAGGTCTGCTTTATCATCGCGAAAAAGTAGTAAAATATACCATTCAATCAAAAACTGAGTGTATTATTTCAAAATTTCTAATGCATAATATGATGAGTTTTATTTAAAACAGATTTTTACAGGAGTTCTGAATATGGGGTATAGATAAACACGAAAAAGATGAAAAAAGGGGGCATGATAAGCCGGTTCAATAAACAAAACTTTTTTATAAATATACTCAAACTTCTAGAACACATTTTATGCAAGCACATTCTTAAACATTTTGAAAAGCACAGAGTATTAATATCACTCAACCATGGATTCAGGTCTGGCTATTTCGTGCGAAACACAACTGATCGTCGCCATACATGACTTCATGATGACATGAAGGGATTCGACACCGGCCTATAAACTGACATTGCAATCCTGGATTTTTCCAAAGCTTTTGACACTGTACAGCATAACAAATAACTATCAAAAATGGGAGAATACGGAATTTGAGGACAACTAAACAACTGGCTAAATATGTTTCTGACACAGAGGGAGAACAGTCTGAAGAAGTAAATGTGGACTCAGGAGTTCCACAAGAAACAGAACTTGGACCATTTCTCTTCTTATGTCACATAAATGCAGAGGTCAACTTAACAAAATTTAAAAGTATGGCCAATAGGGCCAGTTAGAGCGTACATTTAATGGCCGAACTCAAATAAAATTTGTCCTAATAATACTATCTAAGTGAAAATATAGTCAAATGTAAAGGCCAATAGGGCCAGTAGTCTTTATGTTCAACTGGCCCTATCGAAATTCTACTGGCCTTGGGCCAGTGCATAAGTCCACCCCTGAAATGACCTCCCGGACACTGTCAAATCATCACTACAGCTGTTCGCTGATGACTGCTTACTGTACAGAACCATAAAAACAGAGAAAGACCACAAACTACTGCAAGAAGACCTAGAAGATTTGGCAATCAAATGGGCAGGGCTCGACAATAACGCTTGTCCGGTACCAGAGGAAAAAAAAGGTCAGACAAGTAAAAGCCATATCAAGCTTGTCCGATGGCAGTGTTTTCCCTAGGCTATTCAAGCATTGCGGTACCGCTACGCATAAATTTCGACCGCCATGCTTTCATCATTGCCGCAATGCATCCCGCTTTGTGTGAAAATTATAACTGTGTAAAATATTTATTATCGATATTTTGAAAGTGAAGTAACAAGCGACAACACTCCACAGGTGTTTTAAACTTTCCGACTAATAATTGAATGCATCACGTCGCGCGTGCCGGGATTTTACAACCTTCTTGATTAGACGGTTATACATCGAGACTTGGGTTACATAATAGAAGTTACCAGTCAGCTGATAAATAAATAGTCAGATTTATCTCCAATGCATATCTTTCTGTGCTAAATAAAAAGTTTAACCTTTTCCTATATAAATTTCACCTTAAAAACGGCCGGGTGTTTGACATCGTTATTTTACTGTGATCTTTAAAAAGTAGAAATTTAAAATTTGGTATAGTCTCTGGTATTATAAAATAAAACTAAAATAATTTCACCGAGAATGGACAAAACATTTTTTTTAATAAAGTTTCGCAGTAACTTCATCAGCTATATTTACATCGATGAATTATTTTTTGATTGGTCACAACAATCAGTTATTTTTAGATTAGTCGCGGTTGATTGATTTTATCAAAGAATACATATCACCGCCACCGGGCCGAGAAAAAGACGTGTCTTATGAAATATTTAAAAGATTTGATAGAAAAACTTTCAAAATATACGTAGTTATTTACGGAAATATTGTTTTTAATAAACTTGTGTTGTTCTATTTTTATTTCAATGGGTCACAATCTTCACGTGTAGCGGATTCATTTGCCGTTTTTTTCACAAGTGGGGCTAAATTTCTTTCACTTCGGCAAGATAGGAGTTTTACAATTATGAAGCGTTATAAATAAATCGGACAGGGATTTATTTAAAAGAAAAATAGTTAATTGTCATGAAATAAAATGTCAGCTTAGCTTCCAAACAGGTAATTGCCAAATATGTCATCCATGTGTCCGTATGAAAGGTATTCTTCATTGACGACTTCTGTAATTAACGCAAATAAACTTTTTTTTATTGTTTCCTGTAAAATCTCTGTGAAGCAATGATGACATTCAAAGTTTTATTTAACAACTTGCTGTTGATTCTGAAACCATTCTATCAGCAAAATTCGAAGAACAATCATCAGTTTAACGACCATGTCCAAGCAACCATCAAAGAAACGTCGCCTTACTTGCCCAACTTTTTTGACAAGTTGGTTAGAGAAGTCTACTCCTACATCAAATTGTAGTCAGACAGATTAAAATCACCTTTGAGAAACAGACTATGCCAAAAAGTGCTCAATTGCTTAATGCATATATCAATTGAAGGACCAAAGGAAGAAGCTTTTGATTTTGAAAAATATGTGGTGACCTTTGGAAAGTTGAAACAGAGGAAGATATCAACAAAATAATGTGTATATGACATTAATTTGTAAATAACTATTGCAGACTGGATTATTGTTATTATTGTTTATATGGTCTTTCATTAATTAAACTCTCATCTGTGATAAATACTTTATAATTCCATGACTTATATGAATTGCTGTACCTATAATAAAACAATTAGATTGGTATATGGCTTTAAACTTATAAATTATGTGATGTAACTAATTCTGAAAAAAAGCGTCACGCGCCGCGTTGCAAATTCACCATGGAACCACCATGCATGAAAAATTTTCTAGGGAAAACATCATGGGACAAGTAAAATAATTCTGTAGAAAATAAATTAAATCCAACTTTGCTAATCAGAGTAATAAACAAAAAACAAGAAAAAAAAATAAAAACAAATATTAATTTGACATGTTTTCTTGCGATCCATGATTTAATACTGGTTCTTTGTCAGATACTTTATAACAGATAAAAGGCATACTATTCTGGGAAACCAGTCTTACTGATCGAAATCAGCTATGCGCTTTGTAAATAAGGTAACAAGGCAGTTCGGCACTAGCACAGAAACGAATCCAATCCGATTGGTGTTTAATAGACAGTTCGGCACCGTAGGAGACATTTCAGGACCAAGATAAATCAGTACCTCCTTTCCCTACCTTATTCTGTTGCTTTATAATAAATATGATAAATTTTCTTTAACAAAAATATTTTAAAAATAAAAATGAAGAAATTATTTACCATAAATATCATAAAATCATATTTGATCATATGTACTAGACAAAACAATACTTGATTGCATTTGAAAAAATATTTTAATATATTAAAAACAAAGCTGATTGTAGTAAGGCATTAACCATAATAATATTTTGTCAACATAAAAGAACAGGATGCAAACCAAATGAGTGTATATGCCTACCAGACTGTGAAGAGTGTCATGAGACTTTGACAGTGATGATAACTAGAACTGAAGTCCTGTGACATGACTAGATTCAGTTTTTCTTGACTCATATTTTTGAAAAGGATATCAAGAGATATAAATCAAATCCTGACCTATTCTTTTTATTCATTTTGTTCATTGAATTAACTTAAAATACAAAAAAGGTTAATATTAAGATTTTTTTTTGGACAAGTTACAATTCCATTCGGACAAGTAAGTTTTGGTATGTACTTGTCCTATTGAACAAGTTGAAAAAAAAGTTATTGTAGAGGCCTGATGGGGAATCGATTTAACGCAAAAAAATGCTACATCCTAAGCATCAAAAACAAAAGCCAGAGATTCTACACACTCAATGGCCACATACTTCCCAACAAATCCAGAACAACCCATACCTAGGAGTGTAGATATCAGAAGATCTGAAGTGGAGCACGCATATAACAAATGTCGCAAAAAAGGCAAACTCAACCCTAGGCTTCCTCAGAAGGAACTTACGGTACTGTCCACCGGAATGTAAGAAACCTTATATTTGTGTACAAGGTGGTTGAGGGGCTGGTTCCTGATATTGATCTAGACGACTTCTTAAAAGCAGCAAGACCAAAACGAACCATCACAGCAAAAAAGGTTGACAATTACCAAGCAACTAACATGATTGAAAAACATGTGAGAAACAATACTAGGTGTTATGACATTTCCACCAGGAAAAAACACCGCAACATTAAAATTCATTCTTTGTGTCCACAATAATTAACTGGAACCACCTGGAAGACACCATTGTGTGCGCAACAAGTGTAGCAAGCTTTAAATCTGCTCTCACGAAACGTCAATAAATCGACAGCACCTTCACTCCTTTGAATAAAAGCCAGTATTGGTAACTATGCATACCCATACAGATACAGATTGTGGTGGAAGCATCCTTAAGATCATTACATAAAACATATTATATAAATATATTTGTGATCTGTCTGGTTGAATCTGAATCTAAAACATCGATTCATGGTTAGTTGTCGGAGCTATCAAAATACAAATGTTCAAGCTTTTGTTAATTTGTTACTAATCATTCTGGCTTGCCAAACATTATTTCAAGACGAATGTTGCTAGTTGGCTAGTTTAGGCTAGTTGGAGCATAGCTTTAAGGTTCATCAAAATAAATGGAAAAAATGGCTGTGTTGACACCTCGAAAATTACAATCGTGTGCAGTAGGAAAAGTTTTAAGGTCTTGCATCCACTAGTCCAAATAATTATGAAGTCTTGAAAGGCTGTCTTAAGTTTTTGGCTTTATGCCTTCCTACATAACGTTGAAGCTATTTTTTTGTCTAGACCTTGAGAGAGAATTTTTGGCGTAACTTTTGAGACCAAATTTTGCCATGAAATCGATTGACAGCTTGAAATTTTGCATATATATACAAATTTTTACCTGTTGTGTGCTTGTTGGTGCTAAATATTTCCAGAAATATCCAAAATCAATGACAATTCCATTTGAGATTTGGCATCACCTACTTCGTTTTTAAAATGGTTTCCCTGATTTCCTAATATCCTTAACTTTTGGAAAATACATACCTGCCAATTTTTCTAAATCTCCATTTCTAATGCTCCTCTTATATTGTCAAATGTTTTGAATCTACTACCATATTGTTTGAATGGGTATGTATGTGATTGGATACCCTTTTAACTCATTTGAATGCCTGTTTTGAGTTGTTCAGTTTATATGATAAAGAATTTCAAAATTCATGTCAACACCTCTCATTGGGGAAATCCCCCATAAATGATGAAAGTTTGCAGATCTGAGAGTATAACATACCAAACTCTCTATAATTTGATTGACCAGAATTTCCAGAATGTTCAGTTTATATTATCTGGAAATTCAGGTCCGTCCTAAAACATCCAAAAGTAAACCTTCCTATTAACATGTTTTTGATGAAAATTAGTTTAGTGTGGCATAGTGATACATTTCCCTGAACTAGTATACATTATTGTTTAGGGGCTAGTTGCAGCCCGCCTCTGGGTGCAGGATTTTCTTGCTGCATTGAAGACCCATTTATGGCCATGGGCTGTTTTCTGCTCTTTGGTTATATAATTAGGTTGTTGTCTCTTTGACACATTCCCCATTTCCATTCTCAATTCTACATGAGTATGTACATGTAAAAGGAAATTTGATTCTTATTACTTCTAAAGCCTTTTTGATTTGAAAAAAAATATGCTTTGATTTATTTCCTGGAATTACTTCAGAATCATGATCATCTTTTGATTTGTTGAAAATAAGATATGTTCCTGTGCTGCAGGATTAAAACCTTTCAGGTCATTTTGGAATATGGTACATGTAATTTTTAACATTGAATGAGTGTTATATTTCTTCAAAATAGAAATAAGAAAATATATGTTACAATATGAACATTGAAAAGAAACAACACAAATCATTACAGAAACAGCACTGAAAGAGAAATAAAAGATATGAAAAACATGTACATGATGTACAACAAAACATTAATTATAAAGCAATACTATAGCAAAGAATGCTAACAATTATTAATAGCAAGTTTAAAGTACTTCACCTGTTGTCATGAAACCATACCAAGGCTCTGTGTTGAAGACCGTACTTTGACCTATAAAGGTTTACTTTTATAAATTTTGACTTGGATGGAGAGTTGTCTCATTCACACTCATACCAGATCTTCTTATATCCATTCATGTTCATGCCAATATACACACTAATATTGTTGGCTGTGCTTCGAACTAGATTTCATACAGCACTAGACAGGAAGACATGATTGTGTGCAATGCCTAAAACAGACCTTTACAAAGCTTCAATGCATGAAAACAAAAGAAATATTTTAGTCCAGTTTCTAATGTGAGTGTTTTTTTCTTTTCAGTCTAGGAGATATGATTCTAGAACAACAATTTTTTCCCCAGAAGGTAAGAATAGAAAGTAAAAAAAATAATATATACATGTTTAATCAAACACATTGTTCGCTCGTTCTTATTTATCATGTTAAAGTATTTATTGCTAGATACATGTACAAATTCTGCTTTATGACAAATTTATGTAAATTTTCTATTTTTTTCTCACATCGTTTTATTTCATCAAGTAATATTTTATATTTCTTTTGTTTGATAAAAGAATGGATTTGATAACAGTATTTATGTAATACAGGGAGGTTGTACCAAGTGGAGTATGCCATGGAAGCAATAGGACATGCTGGAACTTGTTTAGGAATTTTAGCCAGTGATGGAGTGGTTTTAGCTGCAGAGAGAAGGAATACAAACAAATTGTTGGATGAAGTCTCATATTCAGAAAAAATCTATAATCTCAATGAGTAGGTTTTATTTGTACATAATATAACCATGTACAATTGAACCCTTGAAAATTATGATATCTCAAAAATGTAAATTTGAACTCAAAATTAAATTGTTGCTGAAAAACACCAGATTATAGAATATAGAAACAATAGTATTAATGAATATGGTTAATTAGATATAAAGCACTTTCATTGGTGATAATAGACATGATAGAGGAGATGTCGAGATGAAGATAGAAAAAATAAGGAAAGTCCCTGAACAGTGAGCAGTCACATTATTTCCTCTTCTGTGTATTCTGTTTATCTGGTTTATAGAAAGATGGAAGAATTAAAGGTTTCATTGCAATTATTCAGAATTTTCAGTAAATTTGAGTTTGAGTAATGAATACAAAATATATTAAAGATTTATATGCTTTTGCTAGGTTTATTATAGAGGATAACTGTTTTGAAATACTCCAGATTATGAATAAAAATTTCCTGCTTGGTTGTTGATATTAAAAGTCATCTTTAAGTTTTTTTTCATTTGTGATTTTGTTTAGACTTATGGATATTCTATGCATTACTTAAATCTCAGCAGCTGGTTGTACGAACATGTCATTAGTCTAATGAGTCATTAAGTCTTCATTAGCCTAATGCATCATAAAGGCTTAATGAAGACTGAATGACCCATTAGGCTAATGCCACGTTCGTACAACCGGCTGCAGGACTTCTTTTAATAAAAAATTAACAGTGTTTTGTAATATTTAAAGATTTAACATGACAGAGAATTAGAAAAAATAGCATGAAGAAAATATATTTTTTTATATATTATTTGACAGTGATATGGCCTGTAGTGTAGCAGGAATAACATCAGATGCTAATGTATTGACCAATGAACTACGACTTATAGCACAGAGGTAAGACTATTTAGTTTGAACTACTAACTTTTTCAGACAGGTTATTTTTGTTATTGGGTTGTAGTCTATTTGACATACCGGTATGCCCATCACCTTTTATTAATATGCACACTTGATTCTGTTATATAGGAGTGTTTGTTTTTTCATTAGAATGTTTGGTCTAAATAACTTTTTGCCATCTTAGCAATTTTTTGTCTTTTGTGTCATTCTGGTAATCACAAGATTAGGGTGTTATTTGTAAACTTTTTTGGCAGATACTTTATATTTCTACTTGCATGCTAATGTTTTGACTTAAATCCTAGGACTGAATTTCCCCCCTTAAATTTCATTTATTGATCTCCTTTCCTTTTCTTTCCCTATAATATTCATTCTTTTTCTTACAGCCTTTTTATTGTTAAAGATGGTATGTTGCCCTCCAGATGTCATTCAGTTATTTTTGTTGTTTGTTGATTTCTGTATCTTCTTTTATTATTTATATAAAGACTTGAAATATACATACTAACTAAATTTTTGATAGACGAAAACCGTGAAGTGACCATGATAACCTATGATCTCATATTCTAAGATACCATTATTTTGAAAGCAAACTATAGTTGATATTATATATATATATCAGTTAATGATGATCACATAATGGTTTGACAGTAAGCAACATGTTTGCAGAATAGATATTTCTCTGGACCAAAGGATCAACAAGCACTTCATATGATGTTTTTGTCATTACAGATATTTATTACAGTACCAAGAACCCATACCATGTGAACAGCTTGTTAGTACATTATGTGATATCAAACAGGCTTATACACAGTTTGGAGGTAAATTACCTTTTTTATGCTAACACAGTATAAAGCACATACAGTAAAATATTACAAAAAAAAAACAAACTTAAAAATCCATACAGCTGACATAGATGAGGAATGAACTTAACATTTTGAGTAAGGACTCATTAAACTTTTTAAATATAAAATTAATATGTATAGTCAGACTCACCAAAACTTTAAAAAACATGTTCAGGACTTGTCATATTGCATTGCTACAAGTATCCCTGATTACAGGTATTTTGAGCCATAAATATATCAGAATGAACTTAAAATGTGTCTTAGTTAGTCTATGATACTGGTTGATGTCAAGGAAGATTTGATATCTATTAACATCATGCAGAAAAAGATGGATTATGGTTTTTAGTACAACAGATGAAACCATATGATGCAGGGACTCACGATTTTTTGCCATGGCAAGTCCAACAGTGAGAAGAAAAAAATGTTATTGCTATGTAATTTATTTAAGTTTCTATGACGTATTAGTGCAAGGAAATAACATCAAATCGTTACTGTATGTGTATTGGATTTATTACAGGTAAACGACCATTTGGGGTATCTTTACTGTATGTGTTTTATTACAGGTAAAAGACCGTTTGGTGTATCGTTACTGTATGTGTTTTATTACAGGTAAACGACCATTTGGTGTATCGTTACTGTATGTGTTTTATTACAGGTAAATGACCATTTGGTGTATTCTTACTGTATGTGTTTTATTACAGGTAAATGACAATTTGGTGTATTCTTACTGTATGTGTTTTATTACAGGTAAACGACCATTTGGTGTATCGTTACTGTATGTGTTTTATTACAGGTAAACGACCATTTGGTGTATTCTTACTGTATGTGTTTTATTACAGGTAAATGACCATTTTGGTGTATTCTTACTGTATGTGTTTTATTACAGGTAAACAACCATTTGATGTATCCATACTGTATGTGTTGTATTACAGGTAAAAGACCATTTGGTGTATTCTTACTGTATGTGTTTTATTACAGGTAAATGACTATTTGGTGTATCTTTACTGTATGTGTTTTATTACAGGTAAACGACCATTCGGTGTATCATTACTGTATGTAGGATGGGACAAACATTATGGATTCCAGTTATATCAGAGTGATCCCAGTGGTAATTATGGAGGATGGAAAGCTACATGTATAGGAAATAACAGTGCTGTAAGTCATCACTTTTTTCTCACAAGTCATGTTCTAGTTTATATCTACATTGTTTAAAAAAAAATAATAATGCATCCATTTAGGAATACTCAGGGTTTTGATTTGGAGACTCTAGAAGCCCATATATAAAATTTTGAAAATTTTTGTCAATTATTTCTGAATTGATGAGGTGAAGTAGGTCCAATCAATTTGGAAGAACCTTTACATTTATTAATTTGGTTATCTCGACCAATTTGTAATTAGCAGAATTATTTGCATTAGTTATTGCAATTTCTGCGTATATCCTATTGTGAAAATTTGGAATACACAGTCCTACACCATCACACCCTAATATACATGCAGTAGCATATCAACTCAATGTAGTTAAAGATGTTTTCAGCTGAAATTCAAAATAACAACAATTTAAAAAATGATGTTTTATTCAAAGCAGAATGTATAATGCATTGAATTTAGTATGTGTAGGAATAAAGATAGGATAAGGGCTTGTTTTGAGATAAATGTACAAGCATTTGAAATGAAACATTTTGCAGAAAGGATATGTGTTTTTTTTTTCAAATGAAGTATGTTTACTGTTTGAAAATGTATAAGAAGTAAAAAGAAATTAAAAATATTTTATCAGAAGTTTATATGAATTTTTTTTTAAATTATAAGAAATAAGGAGTTGATGAGCAAAATTTGTTAATGCATTTCAGTAAAACCCCAAAGGGTTACAAATTATGAAGGAAAAGTTGAAAGCCTGAAGCAGTAGTCGTTTATATATGTTTATTTTGATAATCATAGATGGATAATAAAGATAAGGTGAATCGATAGATTCAGAACGAGGAAAATAAAGTGATTTTGTATTTGTTTGAATTTCAGAATGCTGTATCAATGTTGAAACAAGAATACAAAGAAGGAGAAGTTAAACTAAAAGATGCCCTGAATTTAGCTATTAAAATTCTGAGTAAAACTTTAGATATGACTAAACTGACAGCTGAGAAAGGTAACATACATTCATGAATTTAAATAATCTTGTGTACAAGCTACTGTGGATTTATTTACTTTCTTTGTTACCACTTTTTATACGACCGCAAAAAAATTTTGTGGTCTCGTATATTGGTATGACGTTGGCGTCGTCGTCGTCCGAAGACACATTGGTTTTCGCACTCTAACTTTAGTTTAAGTGAATGGATCTCTATGAAATTTTACCATAAGGTTCAATACCACAAAAGGAAGGTGGGGATTGATTTTGGGGGTTATGGTACCAACAGTTAAGGAATTAGGGGCCAAAAATAAGCATTTTTGTAACTTCCAGACATAACTTGTGTGTTAGTGTATGGATCTCTCTGACATTGTACCACAAGGTTCCATATCACAAAGGGAATGCTGGGATTGATTTTGGGGGTAATTGCCTCCAAATTTTAGGAATTAGGGGCCAAAAAGGGGCAAAAAACAAGCATTTTTCTAGTTTCATGACAATAACTTGTTTGTAAGTGTATGGATCTCTCTGACATTGTACCACAAGGTTCCATATCACAAAGGGAATGCTGGGATTGATTTTGGGGGTAATTGCTTCCAAATTTTAGGAATTAGGGGCCAAAAAGGGGCAAAAAACAAGCATTTTTCTAGTTTCATGACAAAAACTTGTGTGTAAGTGTATGGATCTCTCTGACATTGTACCACAAGGTTCCATATCACAAAGGGAATGCTGGGATTGGTTTTGGGGGAATAAGGGGCCAAAAAGGGGCAAAAAACAAGTATTTTTCTAGTTTCATGACAATAACTTGTGTGTAAGTGTATGGATCTTTATGAAATTGTACTACAAGGTTCCATATCACAAAGGGAAAAGCTGGAATTGATTTTGGGGGTAATTGCCCAAAACGTTTAGGAAAAAGGGGACAAAAAGCGGCCAAAAATAAGCATTTTTCTAGTTTCCAGACAATAACTTGTGTTCAAGTGTATGGATCTCTCTGAAATTGTACTGCAAGGTACCATACCACAAAGGGAAGGCTGGGATTGAGTTTGGGGGTGATGAATCATAAGGGGGTTCAAAAAATTTGGGGGGGGGGGGATTTTTTTTTCCTTTTTTTTCTTTAAAATTTTTCCATTTTAAATTGGTTATATCTGATTTATATATAAAAGCAAATAATAATGATATGGTTTGAATAGGTAAATTAAATTTTTTTAAGTTCTTAGACCACATTCATTCTGTGTCAGAAACCTATGCTGTGTCAAATATTTAATTACAATCCTAATTCAGTGCTGTATCAAGCTTGAATGTTGTGTCCATACTTGCCCCAACTGTTCAGGGTTCGACCTCTGCGATCGTATCAAGCTGCGCCCCAGCGGAGCATTTTATTGTGGATTGTAGAATCCTTGCAATTTATATTTGATTTTGAGGTTTTAACATAATCTGCATACATTACTATAAAAAAATTGGAAATTCTTGAACATTTAACTTGTTGTTCCCCATGAAATTTCTTTGAAATTGGTATCCAACGAATAATAATGAATCCAAAGTATTTGAAAGAGGTTAAATTGAAGTGCAAAGTTTATCGTTAAGGGTACATTTGTAAATGTCTTATTACATGAAGAAAAGATAGATAACAAACAGAAGTAAAACAGAGCATTAGAAAAAAAAAACCATTACATGCCTATTCAACAATTTATGTAGCATTCCATTATACACCCATTAATTTAAACTGATGTATTATAAACCTTCAAATATTTATGTAAATTATTGCATACTATCTTCCATGCATTAAATCATAGCATTACCTTGATGTCATATGGATGTAAGATTGATTAGGGATTTGTTTAATATACCCAATATAATCATATACATTCAATTTGGGTTTTTATTACATTGTTTTAAACAATCTTGAATGTTTCAACAGAATTAAGTGCTGTTAATTTTACACAACTCTTAATTGATAACTTGTGTGATGGTTGTATGTTCGATTCTATCTACATACATTATAAACTAAAATCTTAACATATTTGAAATCTTCAGTTTTTATGGTTTCTTATGATGAATTGATATATTTTTATGGCAACATCTCATTTTTGTCTCGCCTTGACAGAGTCAAAAAGCGTGACATAGGTATGCTGTTTCCCGTGGCGGCGGCGGTCAACAATGTATTAGTTTGTGATTAGGTCTAGTTCATGGTGAAACACTAGTGGTAGGTCAATGATATTTGGTATGCAGTTGTATTAGCATTGGCACATCTCATTACCATGGAGATTATTTGGCCCCACCCCCTCAGTCAAGGTCTATTGACTTGAAACTTTGCTTAGTTTACATGTATAAGTTTGTGATTAGGTCAGTTTATGGGGAACCACTAGTGGTAGGTCAATTATATTTGGTATGCAGTTGTATTAGCATTGGCACATCTCATTACCATGGAGATTTTTTGGCCCCACCCCCTCAGTCAAGGTCTATTGATTTTGAAACTTTGCTTAGTTTACATGTATTAGTTTGTGATTAGGTCAGTTTATGGGGAACCACTAGTGGTAGGTCAATGATAATTGGAATGCAGTTGTAGAAGCATTAGCACATCTTATTTCTATGGAGAATATTTAATCCTTACTTCTCAATCATGGTCTATTGACTTTGAAACTTTTGCTTAGTTTACATGTATTAGTTTTTGATTAGGTCAGTTTAAGATGAACCACTAATGTTAAGTCAATGATATTCGGTATGCAAATGTATTGGCATTTGCATTATCAAAATAACAAATAGGTGAGACATATCTCTGTGTTAACAGTTTATTGGTATACCATATTATCATTTCCTTAACCAAATGGTTATCTTTTTTTCTTAACAGTTGAAATAGCCACATTGACTAGAGTGAACAACAAAACACAGATAACAATCTTACCTGCTGCACAGGTAGAAGATTTAATTAAAATACATGAAGCTGAGGAAGCAAAGATAGAGGCAGAGAAAAAGAAAGAGAAGTCATAGTCACATTGTAAGATATTGTTTACAAGAGATTCTTCTTTCTAGGCCAATCCAGTGATTACAAAAATGAATTTAATATAGTGTATCCCACTTATTTAAAAAAAAAAATTTTGACACCTGTGACAAATGTTGCCTAATCAGGTAGCAGCATAAACTATTTGTATAAAGTTTTGAATTGCAGAAGAGCTGGATAATTCATGCTTTTTATATCACATTATCTTTTCAGTTACTGTGAACCGACAACTTTTGGTATATAAAATCATTTGCACATTGCACATGTTAAGCAAGCAAGACATTTTAGCATGTACACTCTTGTTTGATATCTCAACCTTCCCTCTTTCAATTTTGATCAGTAGACTTACATAAAGAACATACAGTAAAAATCACTACAGACAAAGCATGTCATTCTGACATAATTCAACTGATCATAACCTCATTTTCTTTGTTCATTGATAAATGTAAAAAGAAAAAATATACCAGTAGCAAGCCCTGCATCTCAAAGAATTTCAACATATAATTCACTTATTTTTTTGGGAAAGCAGATAAGACATTTCAGTGTGTCTGCTTTCATATAAACTGTTATGAATAAGCAAAATCTTAAATTTTTTAAATTGGTTTACTTTATTTCTATAGTATTTTTGACATCAGAAATTTTTAGTATTTAAATAATGAACTATTATAATTTATTGTCTTAAATATCAGATATTCAGGATAATTCTTGTAAAAGTGAAAGTTTCATGGAAAGCTGTGCAAAAATGATTTAAAAATAATGTTTTGTAAAATTTTCATTCTATAATTAGAAATGTAGTACAGCTTTAATTAATGTTTCACATTTGTTCTTATAAATAGAATGCTGTATTGGGTATCAGTTCAGTGTAATAAAATGTTTTAACAATTTTTTTTTTGTTTTCCAGATACATCTGAAATAGAAAATGAACATAAGAAGATGTTTTAGTGACCTTATAAGTGCTATTGGACTTTAACATTTGTTTATTTACTACATGAATGTGCATAAATATTACATTAAAATTTGTTTTGTAAATCTTTGATTATATTTATAATATTCCTAATTATAACCTTGGATTAAACTTGGACTATGAATAAAATTGAATCAAGATATTTGATTCTCATGTCATGTGGTGAGAAGTACTGATAGCAACCATCTTGACTTAAAATACCACTGTGTTAGAAGACAGATCACTGCACTGCATATTTATATAACCTTTCCAAAGTGAATATATATTAATTTCTTGAATATTCTGCATGTAAGAATTAAATAAAAATAATTATGTTTAACAATTGCCTGAAAAGACAGAGTGATGGACCTATAGTTTTTGTCTTGCCCTAGACGAAAATCACTCAATATAAGACATGCGGATGACAATCTGGCGGTGATGACAGAGTCAACTATTTGCATAAAGCTTTATATTTCAGGGGGAAGAAAAGCTGGATGCTTCATGCCTTATGTTACAAAGTTTCTGTCTGTCGAGTGTCAGTTGTCGTTGGTCTCATTAATTTTGACGCTGCAGAGACTGCTTAAAAAACTAGTTTATTTGTCTTGTGAATTTCTCAATTATTATGAGTAATAGGATACCAATTGACTGAGAGTTAAGTTTATATGGTGTTCACACAAATAAACAGACATGCAAACCAAATACAAAGACATAAGAAACAATTAAAAACATATCTCCTATGGAAATTAATACAGCTAAACTTTTAACTGCTAAATAAATTGCATACCTTATACACCACACCTATTAGACTAACCACTTTTCTTATGGTGATATTCCATTATTAGGTGTACATTCTTCAGTTAGTTAGATATGGGTGTGTTTTAGTGACGTCTCAGATTTCAGTGAATTCTATGTATTCTTTACTGCAAAACTTTTTCAATCAATATTCAATCATTATGTCTAGTATTTGGGGGTTTATCATTAATTTGCTAATTTATTGTTTTCATAAAGGAATTGATGTTGTTTTCGTTTTTATACGACCGCAAAAAAATTTTGTGGTCGTATATTGGTATGATGTTGGAGTCGTCGTCGTCCTCCGAAGACACATTGGTTTTCGCACTCTAACTTTAGTTTAAGTGAATGGATCTTTATGAAATTTTACCATAAGATTCAATGCCACAAAAGGAAGGTTGGGATTGATTTTGGGGGTTATGGTACCAACAGTTAAGGAATAAGGGGCCAAAAATAAGCATTTTTGTAACTTCCAGACATAACTTGTGTGTAAGTGTATGGATCTCTCTGACATTGTACCACAGGGTTTCATATCACAAAGGGAATGCTGGGATTGATTTTGGGGGTAATTGCCTCAAAATTTTAGGAACTAGGGGCCAAAAAAGGGAAAAAAAAACAAGCATTTTTCTAGTTTCATGACAATAACATGTGTGTAAGTGTATGGATCTTTCTGAAATTGTACTACAAGGTTCCATATCACAAAGGAAAAGCTTGAATTTAGTTTGGGGGTAATTGCCCAAAACGTTTAGGAATAAGGGGCCAAAAATAAGTATTTTTCTAGTTTCCAGACAATAATGTGTGTTTTAGTGTATGGATCTTTTGAAATTGTACTACAAGGTTCCATATCACAAAGGGAAAGCTGGAATTGATTTTGGGGGTAATTGCCCAAAACGTTTAGGAATAAGGGGCCAAAAAGGGGCCAAAAATAAGCATTTTTCTAGTTTCCAGACAATAATGTGTGTTTAAGTGTATGGATCTTTATGAAATTGTACTACAAGGTTCCATATCACAAAGGGAATGCTGGGATTGATTTTGGGGGTAATTGCCTCAAAATTTTAGGAATTAGGGGCCAAAAAGGGGCAAAAAACAAGCATTTTTCTAGTTTCAGGACAATAACTTGTGTATAAGTGTATGGATCTTTATGAAATTGTACTACAAGGTTCCATATCACAAAGGGAAAGCTGGGTTTGAGTTTGGGGGTAATTGCCCTAAACGTTTAGGAATTTGGGGCCAAAAAGGGGCAAAAAAACAAGCATTTTTCTAGTTTCCAGACAATAACTTGTGTTCAAGTGTAGGGATCTCTCTGAAATTGTACTGCAAGGTTACCATACCATAAAGGGAAGGCTTAGATTGAGTTTGGGGGTGATGAATCATAAGGGGTTCAAAAAATTTGGGGGGAGGGATTTTTTTTTTCCTTTTTTTTTCTTTAAAATTTTCCATTTTAAATTGGTTATTTCTGATTTATATGTAAAAACAAATAATAATGATATGGTTTGAATAAGTCAATTAATAATTTACAAGTTCTTAGACCACATTCATTCTGTGTCAGCAACCTATGCTGTGTCAAATATTTAATCACAGTCCAAATTCAGTGTGTATCAAGCTTGAATGTTGTGTCCATACTTACCCCAACTGTTCAGGGTTCGACCTCTGCGGTCGTATCAAGCTGCGCCCAGCGAAGCATTTTATTTTCAGTAGAATTCTAAGATGTGGTGTGATTTTCTTTGAGCATTGCACTAGATCATGTCTTTATGTATACTGACAGACTTTAAAAATTCAAAGTTCTCTAACTAAAGTTGCCTCAACCAAATGTTATGAAACTTATACACAATGCTCATTACCACAAAACACAGATTAAGTTGAATTTTGGTGGCGTCATTTTAACCATTATCGAGTTATGCCCCTTTATAAATTGAAAAATTGCAAAATTTTTAGTTTCCGTTCTGTAACTTAAGTTTGCCCCAACCAAACATTATGAAACCTATACACAATACTTATTACCACAAAACTCAGATCTAGTACAAATTTGGTAGCGTCACTTTTATTGTTTTTGAGTAATGTCCCTTTATAATGTTGTATGCAAGTGGGGGCATCATCTGTGTCCATGGGGACACATTTTTCATATTTTTATATTTGAGCGTCATGAGTCTTTTGTAGACAAAACGCACGTCTGGCGTACAAAATTATAAGCCTGTACTGACTTGGTGGTATGGTGGTAGCATCGTCTCCTCAAGTGCCAGAGGTAGTTGGTTCGAATAATAGACTTATTTGGTATTTGCTGCTTCTTTGCTAAGCGCGCAGCATTAAACAGTAAGATCAAAGAATGGTCGTCTAAGAGTCAGAATAATGGGATGGGTAAGGTTACATGCATTCATGTGGACTGTTACCTTGTGAACTAGCATATTAAAAACCAGACTCAGCGTGTCTTTCCAGTACAAAACAGGGTTACTGTTCATATTACAGTAACATATTATATTCACATCCTGAATATGCATTTAATTTGCATCTGGTCGTTAAACAGCCACCTTCATCAGCATTATAAGCGTGGTATCTTTAATGAGTTTTTTTTTATGCTAAGTGAAATCAGAGTTGGTCTTGTTTCACAGATAATGTTTAGGGTTAATTATTGCTCTGAAGTTTGGCTTTTGACTGAAAAAATTTAATGAAGTCATAGTAGTCCTGCGTTTTTCTTTGGTATTTTTTTTAGAAGATTATGTCCATTCACCAAATCTTAATGATTTAGGGAGCTACCATTTGATTTTTATGGGGGGCCAGGATGAAATTTGAAAAAAGGCAGGACAGGATTTTGAGTTAAAAAAAGGCAAAATTTATGTAAAAAAAGTCCGGATAAACTAATAAAAAAAAAGGCAGGACCTAATGGAGTGAAAAATAAAAAGGCAGGACAGAGATTACAACTTAAAAAAAAATGCAGGACAATTCATCCTAGCCACACTAAATGTGATTGACCAATGAGGGGCTTGATGGGGGGGGTCTCATCATGATTCACGAGTTGATTTTTTTGTCAATCACGATTCACAGAAAATAAATTTCCATGATCACGGATCACGAAAATATAAAAAAAAAAAATCTGTAGAAAAACGGATCACGATAGCGAAAATGCGACGATCACGAAGAACGAAAATAACCCATCAGGCCCCTCACCAATGAGTAAACCAAAGTTTTAAAATTGTAGAAGTTTCAAAAACTTTGATGAGCAGAATTATTTGTATGACCGCAATGTATAAACTGGGATAATGATAATTTTACTGATGTTAACAATGCATGTGATAATTTTAGCAAAAGCTTTGTTCAGGTAGCTAACAAACACGCACCTTTTAAGAAAAGAAAATTTTTACCAAAACAAATACCATATATGAATAAAGAGCTGAAGTCAGCAGTCTATAAAAAGAGAATGTTATATAACAAGATACAAAAATACAACAACAAAAAACTGGGAAGCTTATAGAGCTCAGAGAAATTTTGTAACCAAAATAAAAAAACAATCTGTAAACACCTACTTCATTGAAAGATGTTCAGGCGACCCTAAGGCAAAAGATTTTTGGCCTACAGTTAAACCCTTTCTTAGGAATAAAGGGTGCACCAACACCAAAGACATCATTCTACAAGAAAACATGGCTATAGAAAAAAACCAGGAAAAAATTTGTGAGAAATTTAACAATTTCTTTGTTAATGTAGCAAAGAACATTGGAGATAACAACATCGTTATAGATGAAAAACATCCAAGTATTGATGCAGTTATAAAAAAATATACAGATTTGTCATCATAAGCACTTAAAGTTTTCAACCAATTAACGAAAATTTTGTTTTGAAACGAATAAATAAAATAAACGTCAAGAATTAAAGCCACAGGTATTGACGGAATATCACCAAAACTGTTACACTATGCTAAACCTGTAGTTACGAAGCCAATATTAACTGATCTTGTAAATTTGTCATTGTCTACCTCAGTCTTTCCAGACTCACTCAAAATTGCCCAGGTGGCACCGATTCATAAAAAAAACTGTGTACTTGAAAAGGGTAATTACAGACCAGTGAGTGTACTTCCTTCAATATCCAAAATTTTTGAGACAGCCATAGAGAAGCAACTTTCGGAACATTTCAAAAATATTTTTAATTCATTTCTTGCAGCATTTACCACAGGGCTCTATACTAGGCACAGTTTTATTTAATATTTTATAAACAATATTTTTCTCTTTCTAAAAAACTTTGACTTATATAATTTTGCAGATGACAATACCCTTTCAAAATCTGGTTCTTCTTTGGCATTAATTATTAAATCCTTAGAGGAAAACAGGGGTTCACTAATTTCATGGTTCTCACAAAATAAAATGCAGAATCCAGAAAAAAATGAAAGCTTAGTTTGGACATTTTTATAGCAATTCAAAATTACTACCTATCACCTTTAGCTTGACAATTATACAATAAAATTTCTATCCAAACTGTTAGACTAATTTTTCATAATAACATTGAAGTGGAATTAAAGTCTTATAGGATTGTAAGTATGCTTTATTTTATCACCTTGCACTCTCACGACTTGACTGTGGGTTTCTACAGCAGTTAGTTCAAATTTCTGACCAGTTGAAAAGTTTGGTTTTATCAGAGACATATAATATATGTCTCTGGTTTTATAAAAAAAATTGCAATTTGGTCAGAATTTTGAATAAGTTGCAATAGGTCGAGACTCAGCAACACTAACAGTCAAGTCACAGTAAATCCTTTAATTTCTATTATTCTGATATGTCGCGCATCAAGGATACTTAATTTTAATTGACGGACTTTTAAACATTTGTATTTCCCGCATTTTTAAGACTAAACCATGTGACTGTTCAAAATGGTGGACTGAAGGAAAACGAAACTGAAAGTGTTGCAATGTGAAACAGATAAGAATGAGTATTGCAACAAATATTGGTCAATCAAAGTTGCAGTGTATTTCATCTAAATCACCAATGACTTGCACAAATGAAACAAAAGTGCAAAGACTACGTAAGTCTTATTTTGATACATAAGTTTATCAGTGTTTATACATCAAAAACTACTCCGGGTACAGACAAACCTATGCAGTTTGAAAAATTTTAAGGAGTAGCATACACTAGATATATATAAATTAAATGCATTTTGGATTTCAGAAAGATTTTGGATATTTTGGAATTTTATACAGATTTCTTTTTCATCACTGCAGACTTGGACTAATGTATTAGTGTAATAATCCCAGCAGCAGATGATGATGGTAAAAAAAAACCAAGTTGATACTGTCCAATTAGTTACATCCTTTAAATTAGTATTTGTTGTGTAGATATCCATTTATTATCCATCTATTGTCCATAGCAATCAATAAAATACAATTGTTACCTGAGAGGGGACTGTATGTATACTCAAAGACCATATCAGCACTATTCAAAATGTATTATTATAATATAACTATTATTTCTGTGCCTCACATTATACAAGTATTACACTTGTATGCAAAGTTATCCACTATTACTTAAAGTCAAATAACAGTGGCGGATCCAGAGGGGGTGTAGAGGGCGTACGCCCCCCCTTTGCTAGAACTTTTTTTTTTTTTTTTTTGTAAAATGATGAATCAGACTAGACTTCGTGAACTTTGCCATTTCCCGGTCTTGTATTTAATTTTTATGCGACAATTCTTTACTTATAAAGATAGTTTTCGCTTGTATTTACTGTAATATATTATTGATTATGTCAGTCATCATCATCATAGTGTTTCGCTTCGATGGAGTTGATCAGTACGTTTGAAACGTCACTCAGTCATTTTGAAATTCAAATTACATTGCTTAGGCAGAGGATGACAAGCATGACGCCTTCAAAGCGACAAAGGATTGAGCAAGAACGTATTGACTTTTATTTCATATTTCCACTCAACAGAAAGTAATACTCTTTTACACTCTCATGAAAAAAAAAAGTTCCACAGCAATATTATTTACCTACGAAAATATGTTTAACCCCACACACCCCAGCCAATTAATAACATTGCTGAATAATGATCCCCAGTCAGTAAGCTCTAGATATATTTAAAGTCTATTAGGTACGGACCATTTGATTTGATAGGGCAGTCTGAGATATTTTAGAGAAAAAATTCTGACCCTGATTTTTGCCTTAAACAAAATGAAAACAATTATCGTGTCCCCTTTTTTGCTATAAGAAAAAAAAAATCCAACAGAATTATTCAGCATTAAATGAACATGGTGAATAAAAAACGGGCGTAATATTTTTTTTTGGGGGGGGGGGGGTTTGCATGTAAATCCCATATCTGACCGGAATGTCTGTTTCGCCGAATTGATATACTGAATACTTTTTTCAAGGCCCAACTGCAACCTGCCTGCTGTGTGTGGCCTTTATGTCTCCATTTGTCGACCGTCATTCACAACTTCGTTGTCATTTGATTTTCAGACTCATTCGTAGCCGTTGATTGATTTGGAACCCCTCACTTTCCTTGTTGAGTGAAACATTTCAACCAAACATTTGGATAAAAATTGCTTGTTTGTCTTTGTTCGTGTCGGTCGTATTATAAATTTCATTGAATAGCCGTATATCATGTTTACAACAAGTAATCTGTGAGGTTATGCTAACTAACCATACAACAAACTAGAATTTTCCATGTCCATTTTTTACTGACAAATCCCACATCAAATATATTAGTACATAGCTTTAGATCCATTCAATCATTTTATAATAGACAACTAATGTGGAAAATGCGGCATCAAAAATGTCCAACCCAAGCTTACACTTTAACTATAAAATATACATGCCCCACGTTAGGAACCGTCACTAAAAATGTGCATTTTACACTTATTTTATGTTTTGTAGCCCAAAAAAGGTCCAAAAGAATTTTACATACTACGCCCCCCTTTCCAAAATCCTGGATCCGCCCCTGAATAAGTTTCTATAAAATTTTGAAAATAAGATTTTTGAACCTGTACTTACATATCCCAACTCCTTTATTCTAACAGGGGTGATCTGAGTCGGATCACCCTACCAGATCACCCTACCTTGAGTTTCTTTGTTCTGCATGCTTTCTTTTGTTCTGTAACATTTTGGCGGGAATGTCGAACACACAATAAAACATAGAAATATTTTTGCGGAATAAAGACAAACTTTCAAAATTTATGTAGAAAAAATTCCAGTGTCTATACAGGGAATCAAACTCAAGACCTTAAGCATATGAAGCCACTATTCATACCCCTGCACCAGGACAACTGCATAATACAAACTTACTGTAAATTTAACATATTTAAACCTTGTATCCGGTGCTCATAAAGGGTATATATACTATATAGTAATACATGTATATAAAGTATATTATAATTATTGTATGGCATTCTGAACTAGATGTTATGAAGCGTAAATGTTTTTTTCATATAGTCTATAAGAGCTGGGATGTAAAATAGTTATCCCACTCGGACTTGGTGTGTCAGTGTAAGATCACCCTCTGGCCATCTGGGTGATCTTACACTTACACACTGCGTCCTCATGGGATAACTATTACTGATGCAAAAGACAGAATGCTTCTTGGTGTTGTTGATTTTGGCAATCTTGTTATTATTCTCATGTTTTTAAATATGTTAGAGTTCTGCATGTTTCATTTGTGTAATACACTTCCTTTTAGGCAATGGTTACCAGAAACTATCACATTCAGGTACATGTATGCCAATGTAAACACTAATAAAGTAAATAAATCTTCTGCGTACAACTCTCTTTGTTTACCTCTAAAGTGAAAATAACTGTAATATGTATCTATATACTGTTTCTATGCTGTTTAAGTTTGTAATTACTAACATGATAAGCAGGGTTCTGAAATCTTGAAACTTCCAGTGAAAATTATGGATGTCATTGTTTTGATTATTATGGTAGTGGGATGAAAACAATACAGGAATGAGGTGGTTTCTTTTAATAATAATTTCAGTGTGATGGAGGTTTCAAGATGTTTGTGTGGTTCACCCACATCAATAACAGAACTACAATTACATTTGCATATATATTATATAATTTGTATGATGTGTATGTGTTGCCTAATATTTTTAATAACACCAATAATGATGCCAGGGATAATATTACATTTACATTTAATTTTGTAGGTTATAAATATGTAAGCAAGGTTCATCTTTGTGTATTCGTTTTTGAAGCTAATTTCATGAAATCAGTTTTTTTTGTATTGTTTGTACTTATCATTTTGAATGGTGATGTTGGTTTGGTGGTATTGGTGGTTGGTCAAGCGACCAGATGAGTGTATGGTTAGGAATAAGTGGTCCTTATTTGTGTAAACAACTCACTGATGAGTCTTTTGTAGATGAAACAGGTGTCTGGCATACTAAATTTTAAGGCTGGTATCTATGATGAGTTTATTTTCCTACAGTTATCAACCTAGATCCTTTAAACTTCACAGAGAGATTGAAGACACATTTAAGTTGTGCACCTGCTTATATGGAATTAATGATGATTTTTTGCATTTTCATTCATTTTTCCAGTTCCAGACTTTGGAACTTATAATTCTCAGCTTAACAAAAGACTATTTTGTGTAATCAACTATACTTACAGTTTTCAACCAAGGTCCTTGAAACAGATAGTTTGCACATATATATCGAAATTGTGCACCTGCTATTATGGAATTTTTTGAGGATTTTTACCCCATTTTTCCAGAGTTAGTTTGCGAGTTACACATAGTTACCAATATTTTTTTTTCCAAAAACAATAACAGATTGAATAGTTCTTGACTAAAATACTACTTTTCAATTATAATCTGCATTTCAATTTTAATTAAAACTCTGACTAAATGATTGATTGTTTTTTGCCAACATCTAGTAGAAAAATTTCTCAAATCATAATCAAAAGGAAACAAATTAAAACAGAAATCAAATTAGAAGTTCAGGCAAACTGGGTCAACATGGGATGACGGGCATGTAAGTGAGGACAGCCATTGAAATGGTGTATATTGCATACAAATGTAAATTCAAAATTTTTTGTAGATATAAAAACTGTTGAATAATTGACTAAATAACCAAAATTAATTATTGTGATTTCAGGAAAGGCTGCATATGAATTATGCTATCAAAATTTTCAAAACCTTTTCTGTTGCAATTTAAGGAATAATAAAAACATCACAAACATTTCTTAGTTTACAATAGATTGCTCTGAAATTATGCCATGCAATGATGCATCTAAAAACCCATTAAGTAGTTGTTGCATGGTATTTTCAAACATGCAGATGACCTTTTATAGATGACTATACGGTATTGGGTTTTCTCATTGTTGAAGGCATTTGAACTCTGGTTGATAGTTTGTTGTCTCATTAAGAATTATACCTTATCCCCTTATTTTTATACGACCGCAAAAACTTTTTTTGTGGTCGTATATTGGTATGACGTTGGCGTCGGCGTCGTCCGAAGACACATTAGTTTTCGCACTCTAACTTTAGTTTAAGTGAATGGATCTCTTTGAAATTTTACCATAAGGTTCAATACCACAAAAGGAAGGTTGGGATTGATTTTGAGGGTTATGGTACCAACAGTTAAGGAATTGAGGGCCAAAAAGGGGCCAAAAATAAGCATTTTTGTAACTTCCAGACATAACATGTGTGTTAGTATATAGATCTCTCTGACATTGTACCACAAGGTCCCATATCACAAAGGGAATGCTGGGATTGATTTTGGGGGTAATTGCCTCCAAATTTTAGGAATTAGGGGCCAAAAACAAGCATTTTTCTAGTTTCATGACAATAACTTGTGTGTAAGTGTATGGATCTTTATGAAATTGTACTACAAGGTTCCATATCACAAAGGGAAAGCTGGAATTGAGTTTGGGGGTAATTGCCCAAAATGTTTAAGAATAAGGGGCCAAAAAGGGACCAAAAATAAGCATTTTTCTAGTTTCCAGACAATAACTTGTGTTCAAATGTATGAATCTCTCTGAAATTGTACTGCAAGGTACCATACCACAAAGGGAAGGCTGGGATTGATTTTGGGGGTAATTGCCTCAACATTTTAGGAATTAAAGGCCAAAAAGGGGCACAAAAACAAGCATTTTTCTAGTTTCAGGACAATAACTTGTGTGTAAGTGTATGGATCTTTATGAAATTGTACTACAAGGTTCCATATCACAAAGGGAAAGCTGGGTTTGAGTTTGGGGGTAATTGCCCTAAACGTTTAGGAATTTGGGGCCAAAAAACAAGCATTTTTCTAGTTTCCAGACAATAACTTGTGTTCAAGTGTATGGATCTCTCTGAAATTGTACTGCAAGGTATCATACCACAAAGGGAAGGCTGGGATTGAGTTTGGGGGTAATGAATCATTAGGGGGTTCAAAAAATTTTGGGGGGGGGGATTTTTTTTTCCTTTTTTTTCTTTAAAATTTTCCATGTTAAATTGGTTATTTCTGATTTATATATAAAAGCAAATAATAATGATATGGTTTGAATAGGTAAATTGAAAAATTTTAAGTTCTTAGACCACATTCATTCTGTGTCAGAAACCTATGCTGTGTCAAATATTTAATTACAATCCAAATTCAGTGCTGTATCAAGCTTGAATGTTGTGTCCATACTTGCCCCAACTGTACAGGGTTCGACCTCTGCGGTCGTATCAAGCTGCGCCCAGCGGAGCATTTTATTATATTCTACATAAATGTATATATTTATATGGTCTCAATGTTATAAAGTCAATCAAATCTAGTCATGTATAAACGTCAAAGAGTCTATTTCTGTCAAATCCAAAATTAAATCAATAAAATGCTTGATGTAATATTTGAAATCAAAATTTCACATGGAAAAAATTAGACTTAATTTATACCACTTCAATTTAACAAAAACACTCAAATAAAACTGATAAAAGTAAAATTAAAGTATAAACTTTAGGGTAAGAATAGAGATAATTTTCCCCAATTACAAATAAAATGCAAATCTGACAATTTCTTGAATCTATCCAAATTGAAGAGTTCATATTCCATCAGAAATAGATAATGTAGTCAACTGAAACAAAAAGCATAAAGATTAATTTCCTTTTTTGCCTTGATGCACAAAGTGCCGAAAAACCAGATTATATAGTTATGGTGATGTCAGGAGGTTAGGTTGGCGGGCTTGAGCTTGAAAAGTGGACACCTGTTTTGTGTAAACAACTCCACCTGCAGTTTTCAATCCAGATCCTTGAAGCTTCAGATATTAAAGTTGTGCAGCTACTATTATTTAATTCATATTTTAAAATTGTATGAAGAATTTTTCCCCATTTATCCAGATTTTTTTTAGCATAGTTAATGAGGGGAGTGGGTACCTATTTTGTACAATCAACTCCTCCTTCAATGTTTAACTGAGACCTCTGAAACTTCACAGTAAGATTTTAAATATTTATTATGGATTCTTAGTTATTTTAAAGAGTTGATTAAAGATTCGTTGTCTCCCCCTTTTATTACAACATTTATTCCATATGTTTAAATGTTCATTATAGACCATTCTCCATTATTTAACAAACATTTTTTGCAACCCAGTCTTTTTGAGTCTTAGATTCATTTTAAATTAAATTTTGCAATAGAAAAGAAAGGATATGTTAGTCTTCCAGTCACCAAATTAGGTAAAAATAGGTAAACCAGAATAAATGTTGTCTATGGCATCTTACTGATCTGTAACTATATACATAATGTATGTATAAAAGCTGTGGTGAAGTTGACCATAAGGAAGAAAACTGTAGTTTTCATGAATGAAATTTTCTATGTTCAGGGCTGCATATGTAATTAGGTCAAATGTAGGTCAACTAGATTGCTCACTACCACTTCCTTTTAACTCTGGTGGATAGTTCTTTCATTGACAACCATGCCACATCCAAAAATAGAATGCCAGGGATGTTGACATGCAAAAAAATTTATAAAAAAATGAATTTTTATGGTAAAAATATGAAATGCCATCAAAAATGTTTGCCATCATTTAATTTGATTTATCTATTTAAATGAGGATTGTCAACAGCTGAAGGGCTACTAGTGGTTCTCCAGATTATACTGTCTACCGGTATTCTGTGTCATTGTTTTCTTTACTAAAAAACAAATGACCTTGTGTCTTTGGACTATTAAAAGTGCATTAGTATTGCGCAACTATATGTATTAGGAATGAAGACTAGAATCAACAAAATCGACAGAGCTGAACTATTTTATATATATATATTTTTTTTTATATTTGATTTTAACATTTGCATAAAGAATTCATTTTAGTGTTCAATATTCCTGTATTTATTATCTGTACTTGAATCAATTGATCAACATGTAAATTGTTATTGTTAGAACAGCTGTGTCGAGGAAGAATCTATGATTCATATTTCAATTTATTATTGTATAAAAATGTACTGTTTACATGTGTAGCTGTAGAGGATAATATCTCTCCTGTGCAATTTTTTAATTTTACAAAAACTTTCGTCGATGACCATGACAAACAAAAGTGAAAGTAAGATTCTTTACTAACATTTTATTTCATCAGTGAATTTTGTAATTGTATTATTGACATATATGCTTCTGCTATTCCTGTGTTAATCTCCAATTTATAAGAGCTAATTTCCATGACAGCAGGTTGTATCTGAATTACTTGTTGAGAATGGGACATAACTCTTGCTAATGGGAGATGGACAATGTTAGTAAAAGAAAAACAAAATATTATCAAAATGATAAT